AATCTCTCTCCATATTCTCTATATAGTACATTACATTCAACACACTGTGTACATTTGTGGCTGTGGGGGGCTCATTGTGAGACCTACAGCACTGAAGCCACCACAAAGACTGTCACCTCAAATGAGAGGGTTTGGACCAGAAAAGAAGGAGGAAAATGAGTCTAACTGAGCAGGCAAAAACCAAGTGTAGCAGCACCAGAAGCTCATATGTACAGAGATAATAGCTGCATGTTTCTTGCACAAGAGACAGGTTTGTGCATTCTCTGCATACCCATGAACAGTACAAACCACAGAATTATACATTGTGGATTGCTAACTGTACCTGTCAGGAGGCTGTGGTTTACGCAGAAAGGGTGGCGATAACATTTTCAATCTACGATTCACGATTAGCTGAACTAAAACTTCTGAGTTGCAGATAATGGTTCCTACGTGATAACGGTAATCATCGACTAATCAGCAGACGTGGGTAGAGTGGGTGAAGTCACAAGAGAGTGGGCTAGCGCACAGGAAGTAGATACTACACAGCAGACTCACTCACACATACACACAGTGAAAGAGGATGTGTTATACCTACAAAGACACTACACACAACTTTCCCAACGAACCTCTGGTCCCAGGCCCTGATACCTGTGACTACGCGACAGGATGGATACGGACATGTACAGAGCTCAGACGCATACACACGCGTGCGTTAATCTCCCGCAGCATCCACTAGTCCAACACAGCTACAAATATTTTTAATACGGGCACGCATTCACACACACATGTACAGGCCAAAGATCCCCGGCACTTCTCCAGTTCACCGTGCGGTGAGTCGTATCGTGCTAGTTCTGCTGAGTCTCTCACCTTTTCCTCCTGAGCCAACGCTGGCAGCCCTAGCGAGCAGTGCAGCCAACATGCACACGGCCAACAAGTAACAACCGCGCGCCATCATCCCCTTCCGTGTTGCTTACACCACTTTGGCTCTCAACCCTTCAATTATAGTGCACTGAAGTGATAAAAGTAAGTGATATCCACGGTACACGAGTGATCAGTCACATGAACTCGATCTTGTTCAGTCCGGCGATAGCTCTCCTTTCATACACATAGTACTCCGAGTATATACGAGAGCCAGGCGGAGAGATGAGCAAAGAACACACGGCGGGTTCTTTCCACGCGCGTGCGCAGCGCGGAGTTATGCGCATGCGTGAAAGAGCCTTCGCGAAGTAAAAATCTACATACCGACTCCTATATACAACTAGCTACTACACAACGTGCATGTCCATAAAATCATCACTTGAGAAAGAAGGAAGGAGACATCAGTCCATCATCCTCTTCCCAATCGACCTGCATACAATCCCCAAGGAAAACATTTAGATCTGGCACTATATAGCATACCTGATGAGTCTGTGAAGGTGTCTTTTGGTTTTCTTCAACACCTTTTCCCCCACCCTCCTCACCACCACTCACCTCCTCCTCCTCCCTCCCAGTGGCTTCGTTACACCAGCAGCATGCTGCATGCCAGTTGCCTGGTGGACCACGACTGACGAGCTGAAAGCGTAAGGTAAGTACCGTTCTGCTCACCTGCTCACCGTTCTGCCAATGTACAATACGCATGTAACGGCGACAGGTAGATCTGTCTTGCTTCACGAAAGGAAAGCTGTGTGCTGACGGCACGTTATGCAGCCCAAACATCGCGGGCAAATCCAAGTTGGGTCGCTCCCGCTCGCCAACAATGTTCAACATTTCCACTAGTATATTACGTATATAAATCGCGCCGTTAGACCACTATTACAGCTCCCACTCGCCAATGAGGGAAAATTCGCGCCGTTCGTACCACTAATAGGTTGGCTCGCTCCCACTCGCCAATTATCATCATTGCGAGTGACTGTAGAGCTGTGTTTCTGAGTGACACATGTCTGAAACTCACCTCCTCCCTAGTAGAGCGAGTGAAGGTGGTGGAAGAGTTCCCAGCAGGGTTGACTACTGTAACAGTGATGTCATAGCTAGTTCCACTCCTTAGCTTGTCGATAGTGTAGCTGTTCTGGTCTGTAGGGAGTCGTCCACTAGTCCCTCCCTCAGCATTGTCACCAGTCCTGCACTGGACACTGTTGCTGCTCCTATACTGGCTGCTATGGCTGTGATACTGGCAGGAGACAGAAAGAGGATTATCTGGAGGATTTTTTGCCATATCATATTGCATAGCATGATGCTCTGTATCAACAAACAACATTCATATGGCATCGTTTAAGTTGCTAGGCCCACCTTCTCCAACAATGAATGCTATGCAACATTACCCATGTAGTCAGGTATATGTACACCCCAGGGAATGCATCAACATGTACATAAAGTGGACACATACATCTCCTGGGGTCTCTCCTTACGAAATGGAATAGAATTCCAAGAACAATAGTTGCGTAATAATTACAAGGTCATTAGACTGGAAAATTGTATTATACAAGCTTTGCAATACATTTTCCCTCCCACACAAGGAACCATTTTGTGATGCGAGTGTGTGATTATCTCATGTCACAATCGAATTTTAAAGATTACGTAATTTGCACAGGGTAGGCTCACGTAACATTGCGTAGCTCCACATTTGATCCACAATAATTGTCACAAACATGGCCTTGGATAATATACTGTAGCCAGTTGCTAATTTGGGCAAACTTTATTTGGGTAAGGAGGGGTTAGACTGTGCAATGGCGTGACCAATAGCCTACCAGATAATGAGAAGTGTGGCAAAATTCATGTTTACTCCCTCGACTTGAGCTATGAACACAACGGCTACAGCCTCGTAGAGAGCTGTGCCGTCCATGTTGATGGTAGCTCCAACAGGGAGCATGAATCTCGTGACTCTCGAGTCAACTCCGGCTTTCTCTTCCAGACACTGGGATCGTGACTGGTAGAGCTGCAGAACTAGACACAGAGAGAAGGGGGGGGGAGGAAAGGAGAGAGAAGGGTGAGGAGGGAAAGACACGGAAAAAAAGAAGAAAGGAAGACAGGCTCATAATACCAACCATGAAAAGGCTTTGAGTAGAGCAAAGGAGGATAGGGATATCGAGAAAGAACCGTTGAATAAGCACAGAAAGGAAAACAATTTACAAACCTCGAAGATGTCCCGAAAGCAGTCAGGAGAGCCTGTGCAGTGTGCCTCACCAACTTGATTGGGTTCGACCTCGTCAGTACCAGAAACAACAGGGGCAAGGTGATGCAGCCGTGTATGAACAGCCCCAGCAGAACGGTGACCATATAGAGTCCAATCTGCTGAACCAGACCCACGAAATCTTCCACTTTCAGTAATTCACCCATGATTATGGAGGCAATTCCAACGGGCGAAAACCTGCAATGAAAAAAACGAAAAGTTATAAACTAGTGATTTTGCAAGTGCAATTATTTGTCACGGATCAGCAGGTTTCAATTTCACACACTGTTAGACATATCTGTGACAATTCCGCCCCTTAATATAATATAATCATGGCACCAATAGTACAATGCTATATGGTGTAATGAGAGAGGCCCACTCACCACATGACGGAGTCTGACAATTGACATGATGACCTCGTTGAGTGTTGCAATTGCCTCCACGACGGTCTGCCCCTCTCCCCTGCCGCGAGAGGAACATGGAGAACGCTACCGTGAAACACAATGATCCCGAGCACGTTTGTTCCTTCCCTAGTCCCAGCTCCACTCGACGCTCCGTCCTGGTGGCATTACTGCAGTCGAGATCCAGAGATTCGACAGTCTCCACTGCAGCTGAGCAGTTGGTGAAGTCTCGTGCTTGCAGCTGAGAGGCATTGCTCCAGGAGGTGACTCGTCTCTCCTCGGTTGTAGACATGTCTGCGTCTGTTTAAACATGGCCACTGATCAGGTTGTCATGGGAACAGGTTCCTGGGCGGAAAACGGAATGGTGAAGGTTTATAGTTCGCCGTTTTGCAGGATGACATAACAATGTGGATCTGTCACCCCTGGTCTAGATGGTAATGGGTAAACATTGAGGCTCCCTTAGCATTAAGTTGTGGTTTAGTATGATAATAGGCAATTAAGTGCATCACTGCAAACAGTCAACCAGAAACACCAAGCATGATGAAGCCTCATCAAATCTTTTGTAGGCATCGGCCCCACAGGCCGCTATCTATGCAAAACACTCACAGATGTACAGATTATTAACCTCAGAATGTCGAGACTGAGTGCAAGAGTCTCGAGATTGTTCCTCCAACGGAGAGGCTAGAGTTGTCGCACGGTTTCTCGACCCTCCATCTCTCGCCAGGTCCTATGATCATCACCACACCAGTCCAAGCACTGCCGCTACCACAGTCGTAGTGAGGTAATACGCCACCGTACGCCAGCCCAGATCCCAGCTACCTTCGTGTCTAGCGAGCCCAGCCCGGCCAATTAGACTGAAGATGATGAGCGGGAGAATGAGCATCTTGAGCATGCGGAGAAACAGCTCTCCCGGGAGAGAGAGGACGGCTATCAGGCTCGCCCTGGTCCGCCTGGTGGATGGAGAGACCCAGAATAATCCCACAACCATGAGAGGAAGGTGGCGACCAGGAGAAGGTTGATCGAGTCCAGCGACCCACGGCTCCGAGGTGGCGAGTCCAGCGACGTCGACTGGCGTGGATCGAAGCTTCTTCGGTGATGAGTCGCTGGTTCTCCGTTTCCTTCTCGGGGTCTTGCGGAACAGTAGACATTTTAGATCTGTCAGTGAGTGGAGAAGAGAAGAGGCGAGCTAGCTAGGTACGTATAATGTACGTGTTGGAGAGAGAAGCCCCACCTTTTTTGTTGCAGCATGTTGATTTAGGGCGGGGCTAAGTTCGGTGGGGGTCTCGGGTGCGCATGAGCTCTTGTCAAATAAATGACGAATAAATTTGGATGTGTGCGAATCAGAGTTAGAGAGACAACTCCTGGTGCACTCTACTTGACTCTTTGACTACCATGGACCCCACCTTCTTCAGTCATGTGTTATGCTTCCTACATGTTTTGTAACTTGTCTGTATACATGTCATGCCCGGGCGGGCCATTCAAACATGAACTTTGAGGGCACGTGGTCGGGGCAGTTGCTTTGCTCGTCGCCAGGTGGATTAGCTCCTCTCTGCGTGCTCGTGTTTTCTTCTTTTCTTTTTCTCGTGCTCCATCCGCTTCGTGTCGATCAGGACTGGGTTTGGGCAGGGGTGGAGCCGGAAATGAATGACTCACCTCGAGTAAGAGGAAATCCCTTTACCGACGCCTCTCGAGCAGCAGAGCCAGTCCTTTGGCCAGCATCCCTAATGAGGGCTTAGGCTTCATGCTAAGAGGATGAGTTGGTGTGAGGGCTGGTTGTCTTCATCGTGAGTGTGAGTTAATGGTTGGACGTCGGTCTCTCACATGTGCGTTCTAAACGCTCTCCTCGGGACTCTGTCAAGTACCAAAGCGTTTTTCTCGGTTAGTTTAAGGCTCAAAGTTTGTGTGGGTCTGATACAAACGACAGTCGACTGAGAGCTCGACTTCCTCTCCCTGCACGTCGCACGTTCGTGCCGCTGGAGGTGAGTGTGCTCGCCGTTTTTCAGCTGCTAGATCTGTCCACAGTGGACGGCAAGGATCAACATATCACAGCGTGTCGCAATCCATGGGTCGTACTTATTCCTACTCCCATGGTGAGAAGGGTAGCCTCTTGGGGCTGATTGCCGACAGCTGGTATTCTGTGGCTCAGATCTCCGTGGAGTGGTTGTGGGAGTGGGTGTGGTCACTCGTGCCTCTAATAAAGTGTCCGTCCACATTCTGTCTTATGCGACTTCAACTACCACCAATGATGGTGCACAGTGATCTACAACACATCGACTGGGGACAGTGCTAGTTCTGTATTGTACACTATTTCGCTCCCTACACGTTTTTGTCTGATTTGTATGTATGTACCTGCCATGCCCTAGTGGGTCCGTGCATGATTGATGATTGACATTAAACCAAGCGAGAGCTAGAGAGAGAAGTCGCGCGCAAGCCCAGCCTTTTTTTGTTGTAGCACGTGATTTTTTAGGGGCGGCGGGTGCTAAGCGCTCGGATGGGTGGCGCATTGTTCTCTCTTTGTCAACATTAAACCAAGCTGCGCAGTGTAGCCATGTCCATTGTCACAACAGCGTTCAGCAGTGTTAGTAGTAGTGGCGCTGAGGCTGAGAGGTTGTGAGGTGCGGAAGGTTTTGTGCGCGTACGTCATATCATCTTCAGCTGTCTTCCAGGCGCTCGACAATGAGCCTCATTACTGGTGGTCTGGATGTCTCTGGAGTGAGGCACTGCAGTCGGGTACTCGAATCAAGCTCACAGTGTTTCATAATATATGGGGAAACTACGCATATGATTGGCTCTGAGAACTTGGAGAGCTCAACTGATTGATTTGTAGCTCACTTTAGCTCTGCTATCAAATCCAATGGTCTCTATACTGAATGTAAGAGTGTAGGATGTACCTCGTTTTACGCAGAGTAATTCCACTACACTTCACTCAGGCACTAGAATCACTATCACTATGACTGTCAGTGAAATAACGATTATAAGAACCACAGCCACAGCAACTGCTCCACCAATAATGGCAGAAGTGTTATCTGTACTTGAACTCTCTGTCTGAGTGGCTGGAACAAACAAAAAGAGTTATACAAAGGTTAACAATGAAGCAAACTCTCATTTACCACCAGTGGAGAAAAGTATGGGAGTGCTGTCAGTGGTTCCAGCTACATTAGTGGCTGATACAGTGAGTGTGTAGTTAGTGGAGGAGTCCAACTGGAGGATGGTGTAGGTAGTGCCAGACAGAGGACCACTGGTGCTCTCAGTGCCTCTGTCAGTGGGTCTCCAGACCACCTCCCAACTGGCCACCCACTCACTGGACACACTCCAGGAGAGGGAGATGGAGGTGGCTGTTACGGAGCTCACCAACACAAACACCTGCCCTGGAAAACTGGGACTGCATGGAATAGGGGATTACATTTAGAATTTAGATGGAATAGACAAAACATAGTAACTGTAAGTAAGTGCATGAGTTAGTTAGTGGGAAGTAGAACCTGAAATGTAACTTTCAATTTGTAGTATTGAGGAAATCAGGCTTAGTTTTGACCTGACCTTTGGCTGTAGTGACACTAACTACTGCCAATATTGAGTGGATTACATGATCAACTTTATTGCCCATACAATATCACTACCACTATGATTGTTAGTGAAGTAGTGATCATAAAGGCAACAGCCACAGCAACTACTCCACCAATAATGGCAGAAGTGTTGTCACATTCACAGCTAGTACTCTCTGCCTGGTTGGCATCAATCACTGGAAATGTAAAACTATCATTACCGCCATGACAGCACTCCCATAGTTTTCTCCACTGGTGGCAATAATATTCAATGAAAAGCACTAAAGTGCAAACCCTCGGCGAACTGCGCATGCGTGGTACCGCTAATTGATGGGTTGGGCTATTAGTAGCATGCGTTTACTCGCAGGAGTAGCTCGCAGAGAGTCTGACACAGGCTAGCTACAGTAGTAGATAGCATGCGGGAGTCGATATACGCCCTTCGTTGTGACTTCTTGTGCCTCCAAGGTACACAGAGCAAGCGGACCCAGTCGAGGTAAGCCTGTGCTAATTTGCATATTGGCTGGTTTTCATGCCATAACTTCTGAACGCGGCACTTTTACCATTTTAAAAATGAAGCCAGTGTAGCACTGAACCCGTTGGTGTCACTATTTTACCTGTTTGTTGCGCGTGGTGGCAGAAAACGTGGTAACAGACGGACAGACAGACGGACAAACCAAGTACTGTAACCCCCGCTGCGCATGCGCACCGCCGAGGGTTAATAATGGAGAGAATCAAGGGGGAAAGATGAACACACAGAGGGACCTCTATCAAGAGAAACACCCGAAATATGATCACCTCTCCAACAAAGACATCTTTGTTTCCCCAGAGTAAAGTAAATCCCTAGGGCCTCACTAATACAGATGCTGCCCCTCCCTCTGGTGTGGTGTTCAGAGCGTCACCACTCTACTACAATATTATAGTACATTGTGCTAGTTAAAACCCTCTTTCACTGTGCTCTGCATGTACACTATGAATAATTTTAGACACTGCGCTGCTCACCAACTGGAGGTGGGACAGGTTCGCTATCACTAAATCTTGTTGTATCCTGGATAAGAAGAACATACAGTTAGTGAAAGTCCATGTATTACACATGTACTGGCACCTACTTGACTGCTGTAGAGTCGAACGAAGAAGTAATAGTTGGCTCCAAGACTGACACGTCGGTTGTCATAGTTCACTTGCTGGCCGTTAGCTAGAGTCACGTCTCCAGGGACGCCGGTGCCTACCGTGATCTGCTGCGACAGACCCGAGCTGGCCCGTCCAGCAAAGGTAACGTATGAGGTGTCGGTTTGCTCCGAGAGTATGACTGACGTGTCAGGAAGCTGGCCAGTGATGACTGCATACACCTCATAGTGGCTGTGGCAGGAGGTATGCAAGATCACTGGCAGTTTTATTGTACGTATGAGAGTGGAACTGTGACACAGGCTGAGTAAACCCATTCCACACAGCCACACACACAGAAACACAAGTGCGCAACTAATTAGAGAGTCGGTAGACTCTCTATATAGGGATGACACGGGTGAAATCTCACGTGATCCACGTACAAAACGACTAAAAACTCGGTGAGAATCACTTCCTAGGCCTTCAAAACATACTAGCAATAGTCTGCGGGCCCATATCAACCTATACATGTCCCCCAAGAGCTCATACGCACCTTCAGTCGTCCACGCGAGAATTCGCTCATACGCGATTTCACGATTTTCGTGTCATCATATTCTTCATCTTCTTCTTCTTCTTCTTTCTTTCTTCTTTAAAACCCGCTATCTCCTACCAGTACCAGTTCAAGCACTAATTTTTTCACTGAAGGTCTCCAATTTCGCCGGAGGTGTGCACGGACATCAAGCGATCGTTTCTTTCTTGCCGCTAGTCACTAGGGTAGATCATGGAGCTCTTCCCTGGTCGACCTGAACAACACCATTTTCTGCTTACTCAGCATCAGTGATCCGCGCGCATGCGCCAGGCAGGGGCGTTGTCCAACGTGCTTGCGAGCGTATTCTACCGGGCGAGTTGGCAGACCTGCAGAGGAACTGTCAGCCTCCAGTACCTTCTGTAAGTAAGTGTGCACATTTCCAACTGGCTATCTTGCGTTGATATGCACGAAGAGCACTTGCCACAGTCTGCGCGGTGTTACGCGCGCCTTGCGGGGCACTCAGTCAAAATGGGCCTTCATTGTTTGTCCCCCCCCAGGTTGTCGCCTGATTACCAAAGCCTGCCAATGAAACCACAACCATGTGCAATAATCTAATTACATCCTTGTTGAAGACAATACATGGTATCTAGCAGCCCCATTAGCTACTACTTTCAATTTGTCTATGGTAGCCTATCTACAACATAGCCATGAACATCAGAGTGACTGTAACAATAAATGCAGTGTTGCCAGAAGCTGTTAAAAATAGTGGAAACAAGTGGAAAAATCATTTCTTCAAAATGAAAGGGGGATATAGGGATGGCTTGAAGCACCAAAAAGGAAGAAACAAGGGGTCATTACACAGCAAAGTTGCACAAAGCTACATGACACCATCCCTATATTTTTGTTTTATTGTTTATAAGCAAAGTTTAATATCAAACAATATCAAACAAAGATATAGGGATGGTGTCATGTAGCTTTGTGCAACTTTGCTGTGTAATGACCCCTTGTTTCTTCCTTTTTGGTGCTTCAAGCCGTCCCTATATCCCCCTTTCATTTTGAAGAAATGATTTTTCCACTTGTCTATATAGATTTCAAAAGGACTACATTTTATAGATATCAGGACTAGTATCATTACTTACGGACTATTACATAAACATACCTGAGTGGACCATATTCATCACTGAAGCGGTTGATAGTGAAGGTGTACTGCCGCTGGTCAAAGTTAGCGACAACATGGCTTATTGTCGGTGGCACCACCCCGAAGTCTGTCATGAACGGAACTGGGGTAGTCTCTCGCCCATCCCCAGCTCCATTTACTGCCAACACTATAGCCATGTAGTCCGTGAGATTTCGTAGTCCTGTGATCAGCAGGGACCTTGAGGACCCAACTGTCGTGTCTTGTGTCATTGCCTCGCTACCGTCCGTCAACTGAACTCTTACCTGAATTCGACAGAGCATTTCTCATCTCAACTACTAGCAAACTGCACCTCAGCCTGTTTTACAGTTCACAATATGTCCCATTGCTTCGATGACATAGATTCTACTGACACACTGTATATCATGCCACATGCACCCCAAAGATTGACATAGATTCTACTGACACACTGTATATCATGCCACATGCACCCCAATGTACTTCTGCTACAAATTGTGTGAACTTTTACCCGATATTTTGAGATGATGCCATTAGGGTTGACTGGAGCTCCCCACACCACCCTAACAGTAGTTACCTCAATTTCAGTGACACCAGGATTCTGTGGAGCACTCGCCTCTAAAAAAAGAGGAGGAGGAGGAGAAGGTACAAGGATTAGAGGAGGGAAACTCAAACCCACGTACTTCCTTCTTCAGTCTTGATGGTGTTGGGGGACAGTGCAGTGACTCTCGTAGTGTCTCCATTAACGTTCAGCACAGCATCCACACTCACGTTGTAGTCAGTGAACGGCTGTCCACCCGTGAACTGGAAATCCGTATCCGTCCTAGGTTGGTTTACATTCACTACGTTTGTAGCCACCTGTCTTTTTCCTCTTCCGCCTTGTTGAGGGAGCTGGTCTATCACGACGTTATATACCTCGATGAACTCTTGGTTATCATCAACTTGGGCTGGAGGTGCCCATTGGAAACTGAATCCTCCACTGGTAGTAACAGGTGTCTGGAGTGGTGTTCTGTTTATATCAGCAACCTCTTCCACTGCAAATCAACATACATATTGCAGTAACATTGCAACCGTTAAACCAACTACATTTATACAAATATCAATATTGCACAGACAGCACAGAAAGGAGAGACATTTATAGAATCCAAGATGTTGATTGACATTTGGCATAAATATGTTTAGATTCTTACCCTGTAAATATTCCATTATCAAAGATTATGCAACAAAATGCTAGAGACAGACTACCCAAGGACCCAAGTACGGTGCATATTACATCCAACTGCCACGCACCATTAGGGACTGCCACACTGATGAATGATGTCGTATTGAGAGTTGTGTTAATATTTATATCTGAATAGATGACTTCCACCTCAAACGGTAACATCGTGTCGTCACTTCCATCGGCAGGATCGATCTGGCCATCAGGGATACGAACGAGATAGCTCGTCTCTGCAATTCTCGCTATGACATCACCCTCGAAACGAATGACAAATTCTTCCACAAAGAAGACGCTCTCAGCAGGGAGGTCATTATTTGGGGGGTCAGTCACGTTAAAGACGAGAGGAGAGAGGGTCCACTCCAAGATGAGAAATGCCGGGGAGAGGGCAAATCCCGTAACAATTGGCGCGGCTCCTGAGTTCAAGAGGGAGAGGGACAGGGGAAGAGGGGGAGGAGGGAGGAGAAAGATTGAGAGAGAGGGGGAAGAGAGGGGAGGAGAAAGATTGAGAGAGGGGGGGAGGGGGGAGGTTTGGGAAGGGGGGAAATAGAGACGTAACCCGGACACCATTTTAAAAACCCTAACCTTGATTGGTCCCCACAATAGTAGTTGTATCTGAATTGCTGGATCCCACAACATTGGTAGCTCTGACAGAAACGTTATAGGTGACAGTGGGAACTGTGAGCACTGCTGCATGGGGCTGTAGTGTGAGGTAACTAAGACAGTCGTCTGTCGCAGTAATGCAGACTGTGACAGTGTAGTTAGTGATCTCGGCATTGTTTGAGATAGGGGCGAGCGACGTCACATTCAACACGAGGAGAGTGAGAGGAACAGAAGATATATTTCTGCTGTCTACCTCGCCTGGTACATCTGAGGAAGGGGGAGGGAGAGAGAGAGAGGGACAATAGACTGAAAGACTGAAAACTCGTGAGTTGGGATTAACTCACCTCTCACTACCAATGTAAATGACATTGACGTCGGTCCGACCTCATTAACAGCTGCGCAATTATACACCGACCCGTTCAGGCTGAGGTTTCCAGTAATATCAAACCCCAGTCTCGTTGTTGCACCAGCCATAGTACCGACTGTTACATTGGCTTCCCCTGGCCTTCTGACAGTGATAGTGATGTTAGTAGCCATAGGGTTAGAGCCAGCAGTATTGCATTCCAACATTTCTGTGTCTCCGACATTGATTGTCACAACATCATCTGGGAATCGCACCACTGGACCAGCTGGGGAGGGGTGAATTAATAACATAATACAGTAACTACGTACACACATACACACAATAAAATCGGACCTGGACGCCAAATATATGCAGAATTTAAATTTGATCAAACAAATGTAGTCTGGTGGTCTACAAGCAAGAGAACTGTACCAGCCACTGAGAGCTGTACCAAGAATTAGTAGTGGTCTAATCATTTCGCCTTCATCCTCTCTTCCTCAGTTATACCAACTGCAGATTACGGACACGCAAGACTTACAGATGACAGTCACATTGACAGCTTCATCGACTTGGTCATTGGGCAGTCTGTTGTAGGCCTTACAGATGTATACAGTTTCTTCATCTGAATTGTCCTTTATGTCAGGAAGTATGAGTGCCACGTAGCCATCTCCAGTCTCGACCATCGTGTTCGCGGGGGGATTATTAGGCATAATATAATCCCCCTCCTGTGTGGAAAGTCTGGCAAGTCTGAACCATCGTATGGTGAGGTCTCGATCTACACCGTGAGGGTTGGTTGCACTGCAGTTCAGTACGACGTCATCCCCCACCACGAATGAATCGCCGCCAGTTCTGTTGGGTAGAGTTAGATTCTCTGCCCGCACGTCGACATTGATGGCAACATCTGTAAAACAATGAAACATAGACACAAAGGGAAGAAGAAGTTTCGGTATGAAATGTGTTGTAACTCATAGGACCAGACTTCTAGATGTAGTGGGCCTAAACAGCCCAGGGGCAACACTACAACCGAAAGTAAACTTGTTGCATTTCTAGAAAGCAAACAACGGATTCGGTGGTGGCTAGCTTGCTGGGCGTGGCCTAATAGACCAACGTGGGTGGAGCAGTGGGGTTCCCTACAAACCTCTCCCCAGGACCTCCACTGCGACCCAGAGGTGAACTAAAGGTCACTCACTCTCCAGAGTGTAGTTGAAGATCTCCTCGCGGAGTACCACTCTGCCGTAGGTCACGTTGCAAGACTGTGACATTCCCTCGTGGACACGACCCAGCGTCGTTATAGTTGCCTCACTGGTAGTCTCAACAGTGCCCAGAGTCTCATCCACATCAGCAGTGGTGGTGTTGAGAGAGATTCGGGTGGCATTGTCATTGTCGATGTCAAATAGTATTGAGACCTGGCCACAGCTGATAATGGAGCAGCTTATGACACCAACTGCTCCAATGGATGACATTGGGTTCTGGTCTGAGGTGCTGGCCAGCTCTGGAGGGAGGGAGTGGAGGAAAGGAGGAAGGGAGGAAGGGAGGGAGGGAGTGGAGGGAGACAGGGAGGGAGAGTGATGAGGTAAGAAGAGAGAACCGACAGACTAAACTCACGGTAGACTCCGAGCTCTGCAGGTGGGGAAGTCACATTTCTCATGGAGCAGGTATAGTTGCCGCAGTTGGAAAACTCCACATGAGCAATGCTGAGAGTGCTCCTGTAGACAAACTCCCCCTCATCGACATTAGGTCCACCTTCACTGAGTGGGACCCCATCCTTCATCCACACTATCTCCACTGGGTTCCCAGCTATGAACCAACATGTGAGCGTCACTGAATTATTCACCTCCACTCCCTGAGACTGAGGACCATCAGTATGGTTTACTAGAGGAGAGAAAAGACCATATAACTCATACTTCTCCAAAAACCAATTTTCTCTCCCTCCCTAAAAAAATTCTGAAGACACCTACAGTATGTAGTTGCTTGGAAACAAACGTACAGTACACATGTCAACAGACACACACAATACAGTGGGTCCCTCACCAGTCGCATCTACAACTGTAACATTATAGTCAAAATCTTGAACATTAGCAGACGTGGTGGTGAAAATAATAGTAACCGTCTCATTTCCCTCAGGCACTTCATCCAGTACCCCTCCAATAGTGACACTGACTTGAGTAGTGGTAGAAGTGAAGTTGACAAACGTCGGACTAATCATGACCTTGTCCGCTGTAGAGCAGTGGGTAAAGAGGTAGTCAGGAACTGTACTACTGACATGGGGCACTCACCTGGATCAGCCTGTATATTCACCATGAAATTCTCAACAAACGGACCGACAGCTGTAATATTCAGAGTTATGTTCTCTCCCTCCGTCACTTCACTATCCCCCACCACATCCAGAGTGACAGCTGGATCAAGAAGACATGTAAATAACAGAGTATGGGAGTTGTCACATGACTCACTAGTGTCACTGATAGTGAGAGCGGCTTGAGAGACGCTCAGTCTGAATTTAGATTCCAGAGATAGAATGAAATCCTCTGGGTCTTCCTTCAGCTTATCACCCGGTACAGTAATGACCACTACACTAGTATTTGAGGTACTGTTGAGTGTAATGTTCCCCTCTGGACTAATGGAGTAGTAATCTAGGGTGCCACTGGGGGTCACAGTAACTCTCACTTCCACCTCTCCCATCTGTGGATTGACCCACGTCACCATTACTGGTACTGAGTCTCCTTCATCCACAGTGTAGGCAGAGTGGTTAAACTGAAACACCAGGACTAAAGAGGGAAGGAGTGTAGCTTCATACAAGCTTCTGGGCACCATTTAAAATGTCAGTATAACACCCTCTAAAAGTACACATTTGCCACTAGAAAGGTTTTTTTGGTCCTCTACTTCTTAAATACCTGAAAATAACTGTACAATGATCAAAAAAACCTCACCAGAGTCATTAATGGTGACAGTTGCTGTGTCCTCGACAATTAACACGGAGGGATCATTTGAACTCAGCATCATTTCAAACATTTCGTCAACCTCAAGCAATGTATCATTCACAATATTAACCATGGCAGTACCACCACTGCCAGTCAGTGTCAGGACTATTGGTCCCGGCATATAGTCATCAGGGGCTGGGTAAAAATAAATAAGAACACTCAATATCTTATCTCTAGTATAAACATACCAATGGCAGTTCCATCTATTAGCATGACAGTCACCTCCACCTCTCTGGCTACAGTCAGTGGAGGCTCAACTACGACCTCAAAGGTGAGATTATTTCCTTCCACCACACTGTACATGAGCTCAGAGAAGCTGAGAGTAACTGGTGTTCGAGAGGGAGAGGGAGGGGAGAGGGAAGAGGAGAGGGGAGAGGAGAGAGGAGAGGGAAAGGGAGAGGGGGATAGATGGGATAGATATTATGTAAGTAGTGAAATCCTCAATGACAGCTCACTAGTGGTGTCTCTGATAGCCACACTTGAGTTGGGTCCAACCGTCACAGTGGTGTCTGACGACCCAAGTGTCAACTGAACAATTTCTTCCCCCTCAACCAGAGTGTCATTAGCGGCTGTGAACGTCACAGTACTGCTTGTAGTACCAGCAGTCAACACCACACTAGCAGGCAGTGCAGTATAGTCAGCCCCTGGTAGGATGATTTCATTAGCCATGGGAAGAGAAAAGGATGATACTTACCTTCAGTTGCCCCACCACCAACAGTCAATTGAACATCGACATCTCTCTCCAGAGTACCTCCATTCACTCTCAATACAACATTCTTAGATTCTCCTTCTGCCACCACATATCCCGTTTTGTCAAATTCAACAGTAACTGGCAGAAAATAAATGGATGTTGAAGGTAATGTGGCAGTCTAAATTTAGAGGTTCCATCTTTAGCAACATCTAGCCCTTTGTACTAACACATTCCCCTTTTAACCTCTCTATACCCTCAACAATTATATATACCAGAGCTTCTGTCAGTGATGGAGACCTCGACTAGCCTGTCTGGCAGCGTAACATTGTCGTCATTGTTAACAAGAGTGAGCGTGAGAACCTCCTGATCTTCCACCACCGTGTCATTGAGGATTTCAACTGAAACTGGAATCTGACGAATGGAATTGTTAAACGTTAGCATCTGGGCCACTGGTACGAAATCATTTCCACCCACTGCAGGAAGATAGGGAGGGTCTGTCATTGTGACAGATAAATCATCAACTATCCCTATACCTGCTGTGCCATCGGCGGACGAGATATTGACTATGACATCATTCTCTATGGAGCCCATTGGAACTATTGTCACCATCACTTCGAATGTCCCTCCTTCATCCACAGTGTAGGAGGTTTGATCGAAATTCACTTCACAACCTGCGGAGAGGGATTCAATTAACGGAGAGAGAGATAGGCGGCAGTCTAGACCACAAACTCTACATCTACCATAAGATGGATGGGTGAACCCACACTCTGTCTCCTTGGTCAGCTACTACACAACCACAGTGTACTATCTCAACTGCCACAATACTATGTTGCCCAGATCCCAATACTATGTTGCCCAGATCTCAACTGCCACAATACTATGTTGCCCAGATCTCAACTGCCACAATACTATGTTGCCCAGATCTCAACTGCCACAATACTATGTTGCCCAGATCCCAACTGCCACAATACTATGTTGCCCAGATCTCAACTGCCACAATACCATGTTGCCAAGATCTCAACTGCCACAATACTATGTTGCCCAGATTCCCCAAAACTACTGTGTCAAAACTGTGTGCTCTACTGGTAGAATTGGGATTTGTATATTAACACACACTTTCTCAGAGGCCAATGAAGTTACTATGGCATACTACATAGGATGTTCTGCGTCCACTATCTGCGTACTGCTAACATTTCCAAACTCTGAAAACCCTATGGGGGAGATAGGTAGGAGAAGGGGGTGCCCCTGAGCTAACTGGGTATCAGTGGGTCTTAAAGACCCCAGAGTTAGGGCCAGGTGCTAAGTGCCAATAAATGCTGTGCACCCAAAGAACACAGACAACATATGGCAGCAGGCTCACCACTAGCCACCTACATTGTTTAGGGAGCGTGGAGCACCAGTGTATATATTTTGGACCTGGACGCCAAATAGTTGCAGAATTTAAATTGGAACATCAAACAAATGTAGTCTGGTGGTCTACAAGCAAGAGAACTGTACCAGCCACTGAGAGCTGTACCAATAATTAGTAGTGGTCTAATCATTTCCCCCTTCGCCCTCTCTTCCTCAGTTATACCAACTGCAGATTACGGACACGCAAGACTTACAGATGACAGTCACATTGACAGCTTCATCGACTTGGTCATTGGGCAGTCTGTTGTAGGCCTTACAGATGTATACAGTTTCTTCATCTGAATTGTCCTTTATGTCAGGAAGTATGAGTGCCACGTAGCCATCTCCAGTCTCGACCATCGTGTTCGCGGGGGGATTATTAGGCATAATATAATCCCCCTCCTGTGTGGAAAGTCTGGCAAGTCTGAACCATCGTATGGTGAGGTCTCGATCTACACCGTGAGGGTTGGTTGCACTGCAGTTCAGTACGACGTCATCCCCCACCACGAATGAATCGCCGCCAGTTCTGTTGGGTAGAGTTAGATTCTCTGCCCGCACGTCGACATTGATGGCAACATCTGTAAAACAAATGAAACATAGACACAAAGGGAAGAAGAAGTTTCGGTATGAAATGTGTGTACTCATAGGACCAGACTTCTAGATGTAGTGGGCCTAAAACAGCCCAGGGGCAACACTACAACCGAAAGTAAACTTGTTGCATTTCTAGAAAGCAAACAACGGATCTCGGTGGTGGCTAGCTTGCTGGGCGTGGCCTAATAGACCAACGTGGGTGGAGCAGTGGGGTTCCCTACAAACCTCTCCCCAGGACCTCCACTGCGACCCAGAGGTGAACTAAAGGTCACTCACTCTCCAGAGTGTAGTTGAAGATCTCCTCGCGGAGTACCACTCTGCCGTAGGTCACGTTGCAAGACTGTGACATTCCCTCGTGGACACGACCCAGCGTCGTTATAGTTGCCTCACTGGTAGTCTCAACAGTGCCCAGAGTCTCATCCACATCAGCAGTGGTGGTGTTGAGAGAGATTCGGGTGGCATTGTCATTGTCGATGTCAAATAGTATTGAGACCTGGCCACAGCTGATAATGGAGCAGCTTATGACACCAACTGCTCCAATGGATGACATTGGGTTCTGGTCTGAGGTGCTGGCCAGCTCTGGAGGGAGGGAGTGGAGGAAAGGAGGAAGGGAGGAAGGGAGGGAGGGAGTGGAGGGAGACAGGGAGGGAGAGTGATGAGGTAAGAAGAGAGAACCGACAGACTAAACTCACGGTAGACTCCGAGCTCTGCAGGTGGGGAAGTCACATTTCTCATGGAGCAGGTATAGTTGCCGCAGTTGGAAAACTCCACATGAGCAATGCTGAGAGTGCTCCTTGTAGCAAACTCCCCCCTCATCGACATTAGGTCCACCTTCACTGAGTGGGACCCCATCCTTCATCCACACTATCTCCACTGGGTTCCCAGCTATGAACCAACATGTGAGCGTCACTGAATTATTCACCTCCACTCCCTGAGACTGAGGACCATCAGTATGGTTTACTAGAGGAGAGAAAAGACCATATAACTCATACTTCTCCAAAAACCAATTTTCTCTCCCCCCCTGAAAAAATTATGAACACACCTACAGTACAGTTGTAGTTGCTTGGAAACAAACGTACAGTACACATGTCAACAGACACACACAATACAGTGGGTCCCTCACCAGTCGCGTCTATGACTGTAATAGTATACTCCAAGGCTTCAACATTAGCAGACGCGGTGGTGAAACTAATAGTGACGTCTCAGTCAGCTCAGGCCTCATCCAGTATCCCTCCAATAGTGACACTGACTTGAGTAGTGGAAGAAGTGAAGTCGACATACGTTGGACTAATCATGACCTTGTTCGCTGTAGAGCAGTGGGTAAAGAGGCAGTCAGGAACTGTACTACAGACATGGGGCACTCACCTGGATCAGCCTGTATATTCACCATGAAATTCTCAACAAACGGACCGACAGCTGTAATATTCAGAGTTATGTTCTCTCCCTCCGTCACTTCACTATCCCCCACCACATCCAGAGTGACAGCTGGATCAAGAAGACATGTAAATAACAGAGTATGGGAGTTGTCACATGACTCACTAGTGTCACTGATAGTGAGAGCGGCTTGAGAGACGCTCAGTCTGAATTTAGATTCCAGAGATAGAATGAAATCCTCTGGGTCTTCCTTCAGCTTATCACCCGGTACAGTAATGACCACTACACCTAGTATTTGAGGTACTGTTGAGTGTAATGTTCCCCTCTGGACTAATGGAGTAGTCCTGGGGGGTGCCACTGGGGGTCACAGTAACTCTCACTTCCACCTCTCCCTCTGTGGATTGACCCACGTCACCATACTGGTACTGAGTCTCCTTCATCCACAGTGTAGGCAGACTGGTTGAACTGAAACACCAGGACTAAAGAGGAAAGGATTGTAGTGTCATACAAGGTTCTGGGCACCATTTGAAAGAATTACACCCTCTAAAAGTACACATTTGCCACTAGAAAGTTTTTCTTCGTTTTTGGTCCTCTTCAAATACCTGAAAATAACTGTACAATGATCAAAAAAACCTCACCAGAGTCATTAATGGTGACAGTAGCTGTGTCCTCGACAATTGACACGGAGGGATCATTTGAACTCAGCATCATTTCAAACATTTCGTCAACCTCAGCCAATGCATCATCTACAATATTAACCATGGCAGTACCACCACTGCCAGTCAGTGTCAGGACCATTGGTCCCAGCATATTATAGTCATCAGGGGCTGGGTAGGAATAAATAAGAACACTCAATATCTTATCTCTAGTATAAACATACCAATGGCAGTTCCATCTATTAGCGTGACATTCACCTCCACGTCTCTGGCTAGAGTCAGTGGAGACTCAAATACGACCTCAAAGGTGAGTTGATTTCCTTCCACCACACTGTACATGAGCTCAGAGAAGCTGAGAGTAGCTGGCGTTCGAGAGGGAGAGGGAGAGAGGGGAGAGGGGGAGAGGGAGAGGGAGAGAGGGGAGAGGGAGAGTGTGAGGGGTGGCAGAAAAGAAATGAAGGTTGAAGGTAATGTGGCGGTCTAAATTTAGAAAATGTTACTAAAAACGGAAACATTGCACTGAGCCCTACTGTTTTGGTTCCATCATCTAGGGCCCTTTGTGCTGACACATTCTCCCTTTAACCTGTCTATATCCTCAACAATTATATATACCAGAGCTTGTATCATTGATGGAGACCTCGACTGGGCTGTCCGGCAGCACAACATCCATTGGGTCATCATTGGTAGCAAGAGTGAGCGTGAAAACCTCCTGATCTTCCACCACCGTGTCATTGAGGATTTCAACTGAAACTGGAATCTCACGAGTGGCATCGGTAAACATTAGCATCTGGGCCACTGGTACGAAATCACTTCCACCCACTGCAGGAAGATAGGGAGGGTCTGTCATTGTGACAGATAAATCATCAACTATCCCTATACCTGCTGTGCCATTGATGGACGAGATACTGACTATGACATCATTCTCTATGGAGCACATTGGATCTATTGTCACCATCACTTGGAATGTCCCTCCTTCATCCGCAGTGTAGGAGTCTTGATTGAAACTGACAACACAAGCTGCCACAATACTATGTTGCCCAGATCTCAACTGCCACAATACTATGTTGCCCAGATCTCAACTGCCACAATACTATGTTGCCCAGATCTCAACTGCCACAATACTATGTTGCCCAGATCTCAACTGCCACAATACTATGTTGCCCAGATCTCAACTGCCACAATACTATGTTGCCCAGATCTCAACTGCCACAATACTATGTTGCCCAGATCTCAACTGCCACAATACTATGTTGCCCAGATCTCAACTGCCACAATACTATGTTGCCCAGATCTCAACTGCCACAATACTATGTTGCCCAGATCTCAACTGCCACAATACTATGTTGCCCAGATCTCAACTGCCACAATACTATGTTGCCCAGATCCCAACTGCCACAATACTATGTTGCCCAGATCTCAACTGCCACAATACTATGTTGCCCAGATCTCAACTGCCACAATACTATGTTGCCCAGATCTCAACTGCCACAATACTATGTTGCCCAGATCTCAAACTGCCACAATACTATGTTGCCCAGATCCCAACTGCCACAATACTATGTTGCCCAGATCTCAACTGCCACAATACTATGTTGCCCAGATCCAACTGCCACAATACTATGTTGCCCAGATCTCAACTGCCACAATGACTATGTTGCCCAGATCTCAACTGCCACAATACTATGTTGCCCAGATCCAACTGCCACAATACTATGTTGCCCAGATCTCAACTGCCACAATACTATGTTGCCCAGATCTCAACTGCCACAATACTATGTTGCCCAGATCTCAACTGCCACAATACTATGTTGCCCAGATCTCAACTGCCACAATACTATGTTGCCCAGATCCCAACTGCCACAATACTATGTTGCCCAGATCTCAACTGCCACAATACTATGTTGCCCAGATCCCAACTGCCACAATACTATGTTGCCCAGATCTCAACTGCCACAATACTATGTTGCCCAGATCCAACTGCCACAATACTATGTTGCCCAGATCCCAACTGCCACAATACTATGTTGCCAGATCTCAACTGCCACAATACTATGTTGCCCAGATCTCAACTGCCACAATACTATGTTGCCCAGATCCCAACTGCCACAATCTATGTTGCCCAGATA